GGATAAAATGCACTGTCCACAAGGATAAATAAAACACCAACTTAGTTACAGAGTCATAGAAAGAACGTCAGTCCTAGAATCTCGGGAAGCTTATAGTTAATAATTTCCTAATTTTAGATTCCTGGGCCCATAAGAACCAGTGGAGGCAGTAATGAAGATCTGGAATGACTGTTACTGTGTCATATGCTGAAGAAATTGGTACAGGTCTATGAATAATTTAATCTCTTTATTGGAAAATATATGAACCAGTGTAGAGGGAGAGTAATTTGTACTCATTGGGAACTTTGACCAGCAATTTTATGTTTTTTAATTATTAACAGCTAGTGTAAAATGATTAATTACTTAATAAGCATTTTATCTGGTTTACAAAATATTTCATAATATAAGGTCCAATAGTTTGAACAGAAAGAATCACTGATCTAATTCCAACCCCCAAGTTTTAAGTATGGGAAAGAGTAAGAAGGTAGTTCTATAAATACAGCCCAAATGTAAAGGCATCCTTATAAATTAATATACTTTTAACATTTCTCCAAGTACAGTATATAAAACGGGGCCCCTCCCTGAAAACTGTAGATCAATGGTGAGGGTAGGACCAATATGGCTTGGAGTCTTCCTCATCATTATGTCAAGTCTAAATGTGGTCCCATAGTTGAAGCCAAAGGTGACAATGCATGCAGCTGACCAAATAGAAACAGGTATCTCACAGGGACTTAATTTGATCTGAACCCGCATCACTATGCTTAGTCCGCATTCTTGTCCTGGCAGCCAGTTAATACCATCCGCAGAGCCAGGTATGCACAATAAAGGACTATATGAAGCCAGGCAGGAAAGCATGAAATATTGGCACCCTCTAAGCAAGATCAAGTATCCTGCAAGCCCAAAGGAAGTATTGCCCCAAGATTCCAATCACTGTGTTAAAAGCATAGTGTTTCACAGATAATGCTAAATAAAACGTTTCCCACTGTGTTTGGTTGCTAACATTTGCAGAATCTCTCACTAAGTGCTGTTCTTCGTTTTCTCTTGGGCTTCACATGCTCAGACTGGGTCCTGCCATGTTCATATGACACCCCGGCATCTAATAGCACAGTCCTCTCAACCTATAAAGAACTTCCACTTAGGGACATCACCAGACAAAAGTAAGCCTTCCAGAAATCTCATACATTTAAACTGGGGTTGGGAAGTCCTATCACTTAATTAAAAAAAAATCATCAAGACCACTTTGATAATGCCATTTAACTTCAAAAATGAATTTTCTGGTCGTTCAAGCTAGGGACCCACCATGCTCCCTTTATCTCTGTCTCACCTCAACTGTTTCCACAAAGTTATAGAAAATGCATACTCCTTGTGGTTTTTTTTTATTATTATTTAAAAAAAACCTCTAGATTGAAAAAAACAGATATAAGATAGCATATCAACCACCATCACCTAATGAAAGAGATATGAAATGAACAGTTGGGAAGACTATGAACAACAATATATACAAGCTAATGCCATAGAATTCTTTTTTGCTCTCCCAAAAATGGCTCACTCTGAGATTCATAATTTAAAATATTTGATCAAATGTAAAGCCTGAGAGTAATGTTAAAATTGTGACTTATGTTTGGTTAATTCTATTCTAGCCAGGCTATGGCATATATCACATTAATAAGGAAAATGTTTCCTAAAAATGAAGTAGTTTGCTGCATGGTACACTGAATGATCAAGTGTTCATTATGCAAAACCCAAGTATTGTAATAACAACAGTAAGAGGGTAAGCATTATCACTATATCTTTGTCAACACTGAAGAATTTAATAAGTGGAAAAAGATATTTTCACTTCATATTTCTAAGTAGAACCTCAGGAAGAACTTTCCATGCAGCAGAGATCTAGATAAATAAGATGGAAAGTAGTGAGTTTCCCATCCTTAGAAGTCTTCAGAGCAGAGGTTGGAGACTCTGAGAGAAATATGATAAAGGAGCTCTATAGCAGGTGGAGAAGAAAACTTCTGTCCTAGAACAAAACCCTTGATCAACTCATGAGGAAATCACTGAACTGGGTAACCCAAAGGAGCCATCACCAGTCAACTCTTCCACTCCCAACCAGTTTCCTCTAATGATAACCCAGGAGAACTAACAAAGCCATATTGTTCTAGAAAGCCTAGAAAAATTCCAGTTTCCTTATGTTTATGAAATACATGCCATAAATCCTACTAACCAAACAATCCTTTATTTTGGCAAATTTGTAGACCACAAAATATGATTGCGAGCTGCCACTACGGCCAGGGGAGATTTAATGGTGTTACAGAGCAAATGCCAGGGCTCTGTGGAGTAAAGAAATCTATTTTCAGCTGGGATTCTCAGCCAGAAGTGTCTTCCCACTGAGAAGAGTGTGAAATGCCTGCCATCACCATGACTGTTGACCACTGGACACTCACTTCAAAGATGTAGAAGCAGAGAGGTAAAGCATGTCATCCCCTCCAGCCAAAAACCACCAGGAGCTCAACTGCAGTTGACAAGCGGGGTTTATTACAAATTGCATGGAGGGAGAATGCACACCAGAGGGAACCATTAACATCTCAGTAATAAAAAGTGTCAGAAAAAAAGCCTCTTAACAGGATGTAGGCTTTGGTTGGGTGATTCGGGGAAGAGTCCAGAAGAGCAGGGCTTTGTTCTAGATTGGATGCTGTCAGAAAGCAGGGACAAGTCCATGACTGAGTATCTCAATAATTCTTACCTATAAGTGGGATACACAGGAGCAGGAATAAAGTTGTAGCTGGTAAAGAATTAGCAGTCACTCATAAATGGTAATATTGGCAAAGACTAGAAAAAGTCATGCTAGACAGGAACAGACATTGTTCTTGGTCACACTAGGTGAGAATCGTTGTTGATTCTTTGTGCAGAAGACTTTGATGTTGATTTCAGAAATCGAAAGAATCATATTTTAGTTATTAAGCATGTCTAGATCACAGTCTAGATCAGGGATGGGGAACATTTTTTCTGCCAAAGGCTATTTGGATATTTATAACATCATTCGTTGGCCATACTAACTTATAAACTTAAAAATTAGCCTGCTATATTTGCTCAAACATTTAATTAACTCACCCCTAATGCCTTGGCAGGGCCAGACCAAATGATTTCATGGGCCTTATACGGCCTGAAGGCCGGATGTTCCCCACCCCTGTTCTAGACCATGGCTCTGGATATATTATTCAAATAATTTCTGTGCCCTCTTCAATGTTAAAGTACCTTTCCTGTGATCGTTTTGCAGTTACCTGGAATAGGGAAACTACCTATTTTGGTCAAGTTTAGGATTACCAGAGGGGTGAAAACAGGTAAAAGTCATTGCTTGCTTTTCAAACTATCTGTGGTGAAGAAACAGTTTCTTTTCTCCCCACTTGGTCTCATACTAATAATTTTGTAAATACAATAAAAACTAATTACTAGAAAAAATAAAGTAAAATAAACAAGACGCAAAACTTCAGCCCCATTTTTATTAGAACCAACACAAATATAATAACTTCCAAACTGCTATAAAAGTTTCTATATATTGTCTCACTTTCTACATTTATCTTGTCACAAACATTCAAAGAGGAATTAACCCCTATCCTCCTCAAACTATTTCAAAAAATTCAAGAGGAAGAAAGACTTCCAAGCCCTTTTTATGAGGCCAGTATTATCCTAATTCCAAAACCAGATAAAGACACTACAAAATAAAAAAATTACATGGCAATATCTCCAAAGAACATAGAAGCTAAAATCCTCAAAAAAATATTCAGATCCAGCAACACATTAAGAAGATCATACACCATGATCAAGTGAGATTTATTCCAGAGATGCAAAGCTGGTACAGTATTCACAAATCAATAAATGTGATTCATCACATAAATAAAATGAAGGCTAAAAATCACATGATCATATCAATAGATGCAGAAAAAGCATTCGACAAAATACAGCACCTGTTTATGATAAAAACTCTCAGCAAAGAGGAAATAGAGAGACTATACCTCAACATACAAACTTACAACCAACATCATACTCAATGGGCAAAGACTAAAAGTGTTTCCCTTAAGATAAGGAACACAACAGGGATGTCTGCCTTCACACTCTCATTCAACATAGTTACTGGAAATCCTAGCCACAGTGATCAGGCAAGAAGAAAAAATAAAAGGCATCAAAATTGGAAAGAAAGAAGTAAAACTGCCATTATTCACAAATGACATGATATTGTACACAGAAAACCCTAAATACTCCACCAAAAAAACTTCTAGATTTAATAAATGACTTTGGCAAAGGATACAAAATTATCATCCAGAAATCGATGGCATTTTTATATACCAATAATGAACTCTCAGAAAGAGAAACTAAACTAATAATCCCAATGACCATTGCAACAACAACAAAAAATAATATACCTGGGAATAAACTTAACCAAGGAAAACCATAGGACATTGAAAAAGGAAAGAGAGGAAGATACAAACAAGTGGAAGCATATACCATGTTCATGGATTAGAAGAATTAATATCATTCAAATGTCCATACTACCCAAAGCAATCCCTATTAAAAATGCCAATGGCATATTTCACAGATATAGAACATTCCAAAAATTAAGATGGAACCAAAAAAGACCCCAAATAGCCACAGCAATCTTGAGAAAGAACAGCAAAGTTGGAGGGATCACAATACCGGCTATCAAACTATACTATAAAGCCATTTAAATCAAAATAGCCTGGTACTGACAGAAGAATAGGCATATAGACCAATGGAACAGAACAGAGAACCCAGAAATCGACCCATGCCAATATGGTCAATTACTATTTGACAAAGGAGGCAAGAGCATACAATAGAGTACGATAGTCTCATCAATAAATGGTACTGGGAAAATTGGACAGGTACATGCAAAAAAAAGAAACTAGACCACAACCTTACACCATACACAAGAATAAACTCAAAATGGAAAAAAAAGACTTAAATGTAAGTCATAAAACTATAAAAGTCTCGAAACATGTCACATAACAATATTTTCACCGATACATCTCCTAGGGAAAGAAAAACAAAGAAAAGAAAAAAAAAATGGGACTACATCAAACTAAAAAGCATCTGCACAACAAAAAAGCCACCAACAAAATGAAAAGGGAACCCACTGGATGGGAGAACACATTCACCAATGGTATATCAGATAAGGAATTAATTTCCAAAATATACAAAGAAGTCATACAACTCAACACCAGGAAGACAAACAATCAAATTTAAAAATGACCAAAGAAGACAGACAGATGGCCAACAGACATATGAAAAAATGTTCAACATCACTAATCATCAGAGAGATGCAAATTAAAGTTACATGGAAGTGTCACCTCACACCTGCCAGAATGGCTGCCATCAATAAATCAACAAACAACAAGTGCTGATAAGGATGTGGAGAAAAGGGAACTCTAGTACACTGCTGTTGAGAATGCAGACTGGTGCAGTCACTGTGGACAATATGGAGTTTCTTCAAAAAATTAAAATGGAAATGCCTTATGATCCAGCATTCCCTCTTCTGGGAATATACCCTAAAAATCTCAAAACACCAATTAGAAAGAATACATTTACCCCTATGTTCATAGAGCATTATTTACAATAGCTAAGATCTAGAAACAGCCCAAGTGCCTATCAATAAATGAGTAGATAAAAAAGCTGTGGTATATTTACACCATGGAATACTGTGTGGCTGTAAAAAAAAAAAAAAAAAGAGTGTTTTATGCTAAGGGAAATAAGCCAGTTAGAGAAAAACAAATATCACATGATCTCACTTATATGTGGAATCTAATGAACAAAATAAACTGACAAACAAAATAGGTCCAGAGGCATGGATGCATGGAAAAGACTGAGAGATCTCAGAGGGCTGGGAGCAGGAGGGGATGGGATTAGAGATTAACCAAAGAACATATATGCACATATGCATAGCCCATGGACACAGACAATAGTGTGGGGAAGGCCTGGGGAGGGGTGGGGGCTTGGTGTAGGGGGGCAAAGTGGAGGTTAGTGGGGGACAACTGTAATACTATCAACAATAAATAAAAAACAAAATAACTAACTAAATCAATAAAATAAATTAGATAAAAAAATTTTAAATGCTGAATTAAATTTTATACTCAATATAATTTAGTTATAACTATTATAAAATACCTTTTATAAAACTTATTTCCATTTTACAGCTTAGCAGTACTAATTCAAGCTCTCTCTGTGAGTACTTTAAACTTCAATGACTTAGCTAATTCAGGTCTATTCAGCCTTCATGAAGAATAAGAAGAATTTGAAAGATTCCTCATGTCTTTAAACCCCAGAACATGGTCCAACCCCAAATACAAGGGTATGGATCCTAAACTAATGGGATCCAACTTGTAGAGTCAGACCTGCCACACATATTCTATTCAGTTCTTGCATGCTTTTAAAATTCTACAGAACATCCTGAGGTAGTATAAGACTGAAAACTAAAGCCTAAAACAATGAACTCACCAAAATTTGATAAAACATGGTATCCTAAATCCTTTGGGTGTATCTTTGGCATAGAGAGGATATTGCACAGTATTCATGGTACTGGTGGAGGACCAAGGTAGAATAATTATAAGCAGGAATGTAAGGAATATTTTGAGAACTCTTAGAAGCAGTGGCAAAACAAAGGGAATAGCTCTGAACTCCCAAGAAACAGCAGCCTGGCAACCATAGAAAGGAAAAATGGTTGCTCTTTTTTAAACAAAGACTTGGAGTCAACTGTGGATAGAAAAGGCATAAACATTGACACTCTTTTCAAATAACAACTGGGGATACAACACAAGTAAAAATATTTCACATCTGCAGAGTGTACAAAGAAGGGTCAGTTACTATTGGATTCAACCATAAAACTAAAGAGCAATATATGGGTATTTTACTTCAAGATAAAGGAAAAAAATGAATCAAAGCTACCATACAGAAACAACTACATCTTGTGTTCATAAAATGCTATTTGAACAAATTGTGACATTAAGATCTGCTCATTTCCCATTTTAGCATTCTGTGGGGAAGTGAAAAAATGCTTTCAAAATACTTTCTTTAAGAAAATATCCAAAGTTTCCACATAAGAAGTGTAATACTATCATTTTGGAGGAATCTATGTTTCTTTAGAAAGTTTTCAGAATGCTTTGAAAGAAATAAGGAAATAAAATTCCCCAATGTAACACAAGTGAAGACATAAGCAAAAAATATTAAAATAGCTGTCTTTTGTTTCTTGGAATAATGTCTTCATGTCAAAATTGAGCCAAAGCACACATCTTTGACAGTAAAATGTGTTCTACTGCTTCCTCCTGAATTTAAAGTATTATAATGAGGCTTCCTTTCCACCTCTACCTTCCAAACCATGCTGGAGCCATGGTACACTCCCAAACACCTACAAACATACACACACACGAGGGAATGAGTCTTACCAGACCATCACAGTTGTTAATGGCAACAGAGGTTCCCGGAATGTCCATGATGTCACCAACGTAAGCACAGTTGGTCTGCAAAGGCTCCGTTTTCCAGATTCTTTCGGAAGCACTTCCTGGTTGACGATCATTAACAGGGTCGGTTATATTCCCAGGCGCCGGAGATGTTTCTTGCCATTCCACAACAGCCCCAGGAGCTATGAGCTGAGTGTTGGGTTTTAGTCGCAGATGAAAATCTCTTCCAAATGCCGTGATATTAAAGAACAATTGCTCAGAGTTGGGAGACACGTCCCTTGTTGACCTCTTTTTGTGATTTGCAGAAAGAATATGAGAGAGATAGTGTCCTTCTAGATTTGTGCTGACTGGAGTCACCAGCTCATACTCTTTGTGTCTCTTTATTGG